TCAGTTCACACAAACGAAATGGTACCCAGTGGCAGGGACAACAGAGAGACCAATGAACCCATTCTAAAGCCTGCAGCTGTCATGGACTACAACCTCAATATGCGCTTAGTGGACAAATGTGACATGCAGATTGGGTTTGCAGACTGTGGTATATAAAACTTTTTTTCCATCTTGTTATCTCTATGCTAAATGCTTATAACATATACAAGTTGAAGACCAACAAAACACCAAAATATGGTGAATTTAGCCTGTCAGTAATCAGACAAATAATTGCAAAGTACCAAGGAGCAATTCCTGCAATAGACCAGCGCCCACAGACGTCATCTCGTTTGAGGCCTGGTGATCACTACCCCATACAACTGCCTCCTACTACTGCCAAGAAAAATGCTCAGAAGAGGTGTTATGTATGTATGCATACCACAAAACGCCCACAAACACGCAGAGACACTCGTTTTATGTGTGAGGAGTGTGAAGTGCCCCTCTGCATATACCCATGTTTCAAAGAGTTCCACAAGCTGCAGCAGTTCTAGGAACATGTTTAGTGACTGTACATATGTATATATATTATGGAACAATAGTAATAAACATTGTTTTGTATTGTTTGTTTGTGTAAACAAAGTGTTATACACAAACTAATAGTGATAAAGTTTGTTCTGTTATTGTGTTGTAAACAATGAGTGTATATTTGAAGAATGCACTTTACATTGGTCTCACAGGCCACATAAGTTACCTGGAACAGAAAAATATTGAAAAATGCAAGAAACCTTTGAATTAGAGTAAATAAAAGAATACCGGGTGGGCGGCAGTCGCCGCTGTTGCCGTACGCACGTCAATTTCTGCAAACTTTGCGGCTCTATATCTCGGTAAGTACTGATGGCAAAAAATTTTTTTTAGGCTTAAAATACTAGTAAAAATATTCCTAACATTTTCATAAGAAAAAATCATTTTTTTTTTTTTTCGAATATTTGGCGACATAGAATGACAGTTTCAGAGAGGGGCCTGAAACAGTCAAAGGGTTAAAAATAGGAATTACATTAGCCATCTTCCACATATCAGACACTACACCTGTTTGAAGAGATAAATTAAAAATATTAGTTAATGGTTCACAGAGTTCCATTCTGCATTCCTTAAGAACCCTTGAAAAAAGCTCATCAGGACCCGGCGACTTATTTTGCTTCAGTCGGTCTATTTGTTTCATAACCATTTCACTAGTGACTGTGATGTTACATAATTTATCTTCTCCAGGCCCACTATAAAAATTAATTACTGGAATATTGTTAGTGTCTTCCTGTGTAAAATCCGAGAGAAAATAATTATTTACAATGGAGAACATTTCATTCTCTTTGTCAGTAAGATGCCCATAGTTAGATTGAAGGGGACCTATCTTATCTCTAACTTTCGTTCTATAGACCTGGAAAAAACTTTTTGGGTTAGTTTTCGAATCCTTAGCAACTTTAATTTCATAGTCCCTTTTAACTTTTCTTATCCCCTTTTTAACGTCCCTCTTAATGTCAATATACTGATTCATAAGATGACCCTCACCTCTTCTGATACGCCTATAAATTCCTTTCTTATGCCCTAGTAGATATTTCAGCCTATTATTCATCCATTTTGGGTCATTTCTATTTGACCTAATTTCTTTATATGGGATAAACGTTCTTTGAGCAGCATGTATGGTGTTCAGAAAACTGTCATATTGATACCTCTCTTCGTTACTCCAGTCAACAGGTAAGTGTTCTCTAAGCCCATTGTAATCTGCTAGGCGAAAATCTGGAACTGTTACTGAGTTGTCCCTACTATCATACTTCCATTGTGATCGCTTGTGCCGAGTTCCTCATTAATTTCTAAATTATTAACAAGGGTTTCCTTGTTCACCAGAACCAAATCAAGAAGGTTATTTCCCCTTGTAGGTTCTGTTACAAACTGCTTCAAAAAACATTCTTGAACTACTTCTAAGAAGTCATTTGATTCTAAATTCCCAGTCAAGAAATTCCAATCAATGTGACTAAAGTTAAAGTCCCCTCGAATTACTACATTATCGTGCCTTGTGGCCTTAACAATTTCCTCCCACAGTAATTTCCCTTGGTCCCTATCTAAGTTTGGGGGACGGTATATCACTCCTAGAATCAATTTTTTATGCCCCTCTGAAAATTCTATCCAGACTCTGTATGTGTTACCTCAGACTTAATACCCGTTTTTATGCAACAGTTCAAGTGATCTTGGACATACAGTGCCACCCCACCTCCCTTACCGATATTTCTATCTACTTGAAACAATTTAAAACCCTGAATGTGACATTCATGATCCCATCAGTTCCAGCTGCTTTACCCCCTTTCATTCTACATCATGCATCATGCACCTCCCTCACACTCACATCCTGCTCTTCTTCACTCCTAAAATTTGTTATACCTCCTTGACCAGTGCATGAAATTACTGCCTCTGTTTCTTCATCGACATTTAAAAGTTCCTCAAAATATTCCTGCCATCTACCCAATACCTCCAGCTCCCCATCTACTAACTCCCCTACTGTTTTTAACTGATAAATCCATTCATTCCCAAGGCTTTCTTAGCTTGTTTATCTCACTCCAAATTTTTTTCTCATTTTCACCAAAATTTCTTGACAGTGCCTCTTCCACTCTATCATCTGTTCTCTTTTTGCACTCTCTCACCACTCTCTTCACCTTTCTTTTACTCTCCATATACTCTGTTCTTCTTATAACACTTCTGCTTTGTAAAAACCTCTCTCCTTTGTCACACCCTTTACTTCATCATTCCACCAATCACTCCTCTTTCCTCCTGCACTCACCCTCCTATAGCCACAAACTTCTGCCCCACATTATAATACTGCACTTTTAAAACTATTCCAAACCTATTCAAACTCCCCACTACTCATACTTGCACGCCCTGCCTCCCGAGAGCAGGAATTCCGATGGAATGGATTAATGGCATTTCAATTAATTTCAATGAGAAAATTTATTTCATATACATGTACAAGCAAACTGAGTTACAAGCTAGGTCACGGAACGGATTAAACTCGTAAGGCAAGGTACCAATGTACATGTACAAGGTATACAGGCCTAGCTGACCTCAATAACAGGTCATTCTTGTCTGTCCCAACTACTGGATCACTATGACAAGGTCCTAGATGCACTAGAAGACAAAAAGAATGCAGATGTAATATGCACAGACTTTGCAAAAGCCTTCGACAAGTGTGACCATGGCGTAATAGCACACAAAATGTGGGCTAAAGGAATAACAGGAAAAGTTGGTAGATGGATCTATAATTTCCTCACAAACAGAACACAAAGAGTAGTAGTCAACAGAGTAAAGTCTGATGCGGCTATAGTGAAAAGCTCTGTTCCGCAAGGCACAGTACTCGCTCCCATCTTGTTTCTTATCCTCATATCTGACAGACAAGGATGTCAGCCACAGCACCGTGTCTTCCTTTGCAGATGACACCCGAATCTGCATGACAGTGTCTTCCATTGAAGACACTGCAAGGCTCCAGGCGGACATCAACCAAATCTTTCAATGGGCTGCAGAAAACAATATGAAGTTCAATGATGAGAAATTTCAAGTGCTACGATATGGTAAATGTGAGGAAATTAAAACTTCATCAGAGTATAAAACAAATTCCAGCCACAAAATAGAGCGAAAAACTAACATCAAAGACCTGGGAGTGATCATGTCGGAGGATCTCACCTTCAAGGACCATAACATTGTATCAATCGCATCTGCTAGAAAAATGACAGGATGAATAATGAGAACCTTCAAAACTAGGGATGCCAAGCCCATGATGACACTCTTCAGGTCACTTGTTCTACCTAGGCTGGAATATTGCTGCATACTAACAGCACCTGTCAAGGCAGGTGAAATTGCTGACCTAGAAAACATACAGAGAACCTTCATGGCACACATAATGGAGATAAAACACCTCAATTACTGGAAGCGCTTGACGTTCCTGAACCTGTACTCCCTGGAATGCAGGCGGGAGAGATACACAATTATATACACCTGGAAAATCCTAGAGGGACTAGTACCGAACTTGCACATGAAAATCACTCACTCCAAAAGCAAAAGACTCAGCAGACGATGCAACATCCCCCCAATGAAAAGCAGGGGTGTCATTAGCATGCTAAGAGACAACACAATAAGTGTCAGGGGCCAAAGACTGTTCAACTGCCTCCCAGCAAACATAAGGGGGATTACCAATAGACCCCTAGCTGTCTTCAAGCAGGCATTGGACAAGCACCTAAAGTCGGTACCTGACCAGCCGGGCTGTGGCTCATACGTTGGATTGCGTGCAGCCAGCAGTAACAGCCTGGCTGATCAGGCTCTGATCCACCATGAGGCCTGGTCACAGACCGGGCCGCGGGGGCGTTGACCCCCGGAACTCTCTCCAGGTAAACTTCAGGTAAACTATATAGAAAGTTGCTTGTTATGTAGAGCATTTTGGGCAAATTAGGTCACTTTTGTCCCAGGATGCAACCCACACCAGTTGACTAACACTCAGGTATCCATTTTACTTATGTGGAACATAGACAATCGGTGTAAGGAAATATGCCCAATGTTTCTAACCTCGTCGGGAATCGAACCCATACCCTCACGTGTGAAGCAAGAGCTTTAACCACCAGGCCACAGGGCACCGTAGTTTCTTATTCTTGGCAAAATCTGCTGATAAAAGACTCATCCATTTTCTCATAGGCTCTAATTTTGCAGTCCCTCAACTGCTCTTTTAGCCAAAGTGTTTGTTTTTTGTTTGAGACTCAAACATTGGTCTGTCAGGAAACATGTCAATGCTCTATGTACTATGGCATCCCACCCTACCATACTGCTTCCGAACTAGCTGCCTATAGAATATGTGGTGACCACAAAGATCCAACTATATTTTTTTTACAACCAGCAACCCACAGTAATTAAATTAAGTGGTACTAACTTAGCACATACTAGTACCTGCCAGAGACTTTTGACTATAACATCTGATTGAAAATTTAACTTACCTGGTCTATGGAATCTGTCTGGTATGTAGGATCCGAAGTTTCTGGTAGTGTGGCCAAAGATCGTCTCTCTGCTTCGTCTCCAGGCATTTTATCACTTCTAACACTCTCCTGCTTGGTCAAGGTCATTCTTGTTCCAGCTAATGAGGGTTTCCCTGATTGTGTAACTGAAGATTTCTGAGGTGTAGTCACAGCTGTAGTTGTTGCTGCTGCTGCTGCTGTTGAGTGAGGTGGGACAACACCTGCTCCTCTTGCTGCTGCAGCTGCTTTTGCTGTTGCTGCTTTTGTAGTTTGATGAGCTGCAACATTAGCTTGTTGTGCAGCTGCAGCAGCTGTTGCAGACACTTCTTTAACAGCAGTGTTGAGTGTGTCACTCATCTTGGACGTTATGCCAGACATGGCATTGAAAAGGCCACCTTTTTTGTTCATACTACCAAATAGAACAAAGCCACCACTAGCAGGTTTAGCTTGTTGCTTTTGTTGCTGAGCTGCTCGTTGCTGTGTAGTCTGTGCTGAGGGTGGCTGAGCATGTGGAACGGTTGACTGCATAAACGGGCGGCTCGACTGTGTAGTGGTGACTGTGGTAGTAGTGGCAGTGATGGTGGCAGCAGCAGTGGTGGTGGTAGTGGTGAGAGTGGATGGAAGGGAGATAGGGAGTTGAGGAAGTAGTTTGTTAAACAGGCCACCATCAGGTTTGTGTTTTGTGTGTGGTGTGGGTGCTACATGGTTACCCAAAGGCTTTGTGGTGGTAGAAGAGGAGGAGGAGGAGGTGGTGGTGAGCACCGAACTGAAGGCTTTGGTAGTGGTAATGGCAGAAGTGGTAGTGGTGTAGACTGAGGCTAGGCTGGAAGGTGCTGTGATCATCTTGGAAGTATCTGGCACTTTCCTCCCCTCCCCCTGCATCTCCGCCATAGAGTCCAAATGCTCATTGCTCCGATAAGCATAGTTGTAATTTTCATTATAGTTATGAAAGACACCAGCCTCATCATAATACCCATAATAACCCTCATAATTCTGATAGTAGGTCCAACCATCCTCCCCATAGTAACCATACTGACTGTAATCATAGTTTTCACCAGTCTTATCATACCCGTAATACTGGTCATAGTCTGCATACTGCCCATACTGGTCGTAACCATACACATCATACTGCTCTCCCGCATAGCCATCATCATTCTTATCATTCTGATAACCCTCGTCTTTGCAACACTCTTTCCCATATTCACCATAGTAACCATCTATCTTGTCCTTGTCATACCAACCCTCCCGATCATTCTGATACCCAAGATCAGTCTGCTCATCCTTGGGTGTCTTGCTGTCATAGTCGTAATGATCCTCACCCGCTGGTGCACTGTGGAAAGGGAATACGGCTTATTAGTATTGCGCAAAGTGAGTTTTTTTTATATATCTTATGCATAATAAATATACTTCATGTTATACAACACACACAGTTATATAAGGCAACATCTGATAGCACCTATATATATACAGCTACCAAAATATGCATATACTGTATTATACATATACTGTATCAGTATACATAATAGAGCAATTCAATTATATACGTAGAAAAAAAAAAGTTTTTTCAATTTTTAATCACCCAGTATCACAGCATAATACACATCTAATTAATAAATCAGTTTACCATGCAAGTAGTTGCAGCAGCAGTAGTAGTAGTAACTATTAACAAAATATACTAGCACTAGGACTCAATATTTAACCAAGACACAATATGAATGCTAAGTGAGGCATGTATAAAAAAAAAAAGGCCAGATAAAAGAACAAACAAGAATTGACTAAAACAGAACTCTAAATCAAGAGTGAAAGCTTAATTACTCAGTCATGTGATGAGACATAGTTACTCAGTCATCTGATGAGACATAGTTACTCAGTCATCTGATGAGACATAGTTACTCAGTCATCTGATGAGACATAGTTACTCAGTCATCTGATGAGACATAGTTACTCAGTCATCTGATGAGACATAGTTACTCAGTCATCTGATGAGACATAGTTACTCAGTCATCTGATGAGACATAGTTACTCAGTCATCTGATGAGACATAGTTACTCAGTCATCTGATGAGACATAGTTACTCAGTCATCTGATGAGACAAAGTTACTCAGTCATCTGATGAGACATAGTTACTCAGTCATCTGATGAGACATAGTTACTCAGTCATCTGATGAGACATAGTTACTCAGTCATCTGATGAGACATAGTTACTCAGTCATCTGATGAGACATAGTTACTCAGTCATCTGATGAGACATAGTTACTAAGTCATCTGATGAGACATAGTTACTCAGTCATCTGATGAGACATAGTTACTCAGTCATCTGATGAGACATAGTTACTCAGTCATCTGATGAGACATAGTTACTCAGTCATCTGATGAGACATAGTTACTCAGTCATCTGATGACATAGTTACTCAGTCATCTGATGAGACATAGTTACTCAGTCATCTGATGAGACATAGTTACTCAGTCATCTGATGAGACATAGTTACTCAGTCATCTGATGAGACATAGTTACTCAGTCATCTGATGAGACATAGTTACTCAGTCATCTGATGAGACATAGTTACTCAGTCATCTGATGAGACATAGTTACTCAGTCATCTGATGAGACATAGTTACTCAGTCATCTGATGAGACAAAGTTACTCAGTCATCTGATGAGACATAGTTACTCAGTCATCTGATGAGACATAGTTACTCAGTCATCTGATGAGACATAGTTACTCAGTCATCTGATGAGACATAGTTACTCAGTCATCTGATGAGACATAGTTACTCAGTCATCTGATGAGACATAGTTACTCAGTCATCTGATGAGACATAGTTACTCAGTCATCTGATGAGACATAGTTACTCAGTCATCTGATGAGACATAGTTACTCAGTCATCTGATGAGACATAGTTACTCAGTCATCTGATGAGACATAGTTACTCAGTCATCTGATGAGACATAGTTACTCAGTCATCTGATGAGACATAGTTACTCAGTCATCTGATGAGACATAGTTACTCAGTCATCTGATGAGACATAGTTACTCAGTCATCTGATGAGACATAGTTACTCAGTCATCTGATGAGACATAGTTACTCAGTCATCTGATGAGACATAGTTACTCAGTCATCTGATGAGACATAGTTACTCAGTCATCTGATGAGACATAGTTACTCAGTCATCTGATGAGACATAGTTACTCAGTCATCTGATGAGACATAGTTACTCAGTCATCTGATGAGACATAGTTACTCAGTCATCTGATGAGACATAGTTACTCAGTCATCTGATGAGACATAGTTACTCAGTCATCTGATGAGACATAGTTACTCAGTCATCTGATGAGACATAGTTACTCAGTCATCTGATGAGACATAGTTACTCAGTCATCTGATGAGACATAGTTACTCAGTCATCTGATGAGACATAGTTACTCAGTCATCTGATGAGACATAGTTACTCAGTCATCTGATGAGACATAGTTACTCAGTCATCTGATGAGACATAGTTACTCAGTCATCTGATGAGACATAGTTACTCAGTCATCTGATGAGACATAGTTACTCAGTCATCTGATGAGACATAGTTACTCAGTCATCTGATGAGACATAGTTACTCAGTCATCTGATGAGACATAACTTACTATTTATTGCACCAAATAAATGCCTAATATACCACTTCACTACAGTGACTGTCAATAATACACTGGGAGAATGCTTGGAATTTAATCCCCTCTCACTGTTGTAAATGAAGATTCAAGGATAGATTTTTTTTTTTTTTTTTTTGAGATTTCATTGTGTCGGTGGCCAAAATATTTAAAATATGAAAGTAAAACTGAAAAAGTTTGTTTTATGCCTCTTTATAAAAGTAACACCTTATTTATTTTTAAATGAAGATTCCATTTAACTATGCATGTCATCTTTATGAAAGTAAAAATAATTATAACAAAAAATCACATCTGCATAAAAAATCACATCTTTATAAAAGTAAAAATAATTATACAACTCAAGATCTCATTTAACCATGGTTACCTTCTAAGTCAGATATTTAGTCAGGTATATATAGTATTAATAAGACTGACTAACTAATAGACTGATAAGTGACCAAAATTGACATAACTGTGTAGGCTAAAGGAGTAAACTTAAAAAAAAAAAATTTTTTTCTTGACATCTGTGAAACTAAGTACAGTGGACCCTCCCTTATCGTTGATCTCTGTTATCGCCAATTTCCGTTTTTGTTGATTTTTTTCGTCAATATCTTGGTTCCGTTTTCGTCGATTTTCTCTGTTTTCATCAACCGTATGGAACCTGTCCAGTGCCTAGTGTGCAGACAAAACCGCCTCCCACACTCATTCTCAGGCAGTGTCGCGTTGTTTCTTGGTGAGTGAACATATCCTGCCAGGTCATATGAAACATTTTGTAATCCACTGTTTTTGGCACATTTATTGTGTGTGACTGCTAAATAAGCCACCATGGCCCCAAAGAAAGCTCCTAGTGCCAGTCCTTTGGTAAAGAAAATGAGGAACACCGTAGAAATGAAAAAAGAAATCGTTCAAAAATATGATAGTGGCATACGCATTGCTGAACTCAGCAGGATGTACGGGAAGGCACCATTAACAATCAGCTCCATTGTGGCAAAGAGAAAAGAAATCATGGAAGCTGATGTTGTGAAAGGGGTGAATGCAATAACGAAACAGAGATCCGAAACAATTGAAGAAGTGGAGAAATTGTTGTTGGTGTGGATCAGAGAGAAAGAGTTAGCAGGAGGTAGTGTTGTGCAGTCGATAATTTGTGAAAAGGCAAAACAGTCGTATGACGATTTCATAAAGAAACTGCCTGAAACGAGTGCTGATGTTGGTGAATTTAAGACCAGCAAAGACTGGTTCAAAAAATTTAAGAAGCAAAGTGGCATACACAGTGTTGTTAAGGCATGGTGAGGTGCCAGTTCTGATAAACAAACGGCTGAAAAATTCGTGCGGGAATTCAAAGGTTATGTAGAGGCTGAAAAATTCCAACCCAAACAAATGCTCAACTGTGATGAAACAGGCCTGTTTTGGAAGAAAATGCCAAAGAGGACCTACATCACACAGGAGGTAAAGGCACTCCCAGGACACAACCCTATGAAAAACAGGCTAACTCTCATGTTGTATGGTAATGCTAGTGGGATTTTAATGTGAAGCCTTTACTTGTGTATCACTCTGAAAATCCTAGTGTGTTCAAGAAAAACAGTGATGTCAAAAGTAAATCGTGTGTGATGTGGAAGGCTAACAGTAGGGCATGGGTCATGAGGGAAATTTTCCTGGAATGATTCAATGAAGTGTTTGGCCTGAGTGTGAAGAAATACCTCCTGGATAATAAATTGCCACTCAAGTACCTCCTGCTAATGGACAATGCTCCTGCTCATCCTCCAGACTTGGAAGACCAATTGTCTAAGGAATTCAGTTTTGTAATGGTGAAGTTCTTGCCTCCTAACACCACTCCTCTCATCCAGTCCATGGACCAGCAGATCATTGTAAACTTCAAAAAACTGTACACCAAAGCAATGTTTTAAAGGTGCCTTGACATAACCTCGGACTTTGAATTGGCCCTAAGAGAGTTCTGGAAGAATCACTCCAATATCTTCCACTGCATAAGCCTTATAGATAAGGCTTGGTAGGGATTGACTTCCTGGGGAAAACTGCAGCCAGATTGTGTCCAAAAGAAGGATTTTGAAGGGTTTGAGGCTGACCCTGTTAACCATACACCTGTTGTGCAATCAACTGTGGCATCGGGGAATTCCATGGGGTTGGATATGAGTGGCGAGAATGTGGAAGAGTTGGTGGAGGGCCACAATGATGAGATAACCACTGATGAGCTGAAAGAGGTTCATCTGCAACAGCAACAGACCACAGCTCAGAAAATTGCTTCTGAGGAGGAGGAAGAGAGATGGAAGAAGGTGCCTTCTTCAAAGATTAAGGAGATTTGTGTAATGTGGACTAAGGTGCATTCATCTGTGGAGGAACATCACCCTGAGAAAGCTGTTGCAATCGCATTCATCTGTGGAGGAACATCACCCTGAGAAAGCTGTTGCAATCCGTGCTGGCGACTTTTACAATGACAATGCCATGTCCCATTTTAGGCAAATCTTAGAGATGCCAGAAACAGACCTCTCTGGACAGATATTTTGTAAGACAGGGGTCCAGTGACTCTCGAGCTGGTCCTAGTGGCATTAAAAAACAAAGGAGGGAAGTGACCCCAGATAAGGACTTGGTACCTAGTGTCTTTATGGAGGGGGATTCCCCTTCCAAAGAATAACTTCTTCCCTCTCCTCTCCTCCCTGTCTTCCATCCATCAACAGCCA